GGGACAGCCTGCTCCTGCGCCTTTAAGACTTCCTTCTTGAAGATCGTCCAGCCTTCCTGGACCCCTTTGCCCTTCAGGACTGTCTCCCAAGGGACTCTCTCAACCAGTGTCCTGAACAGGCCAAAGTCCGCCCTCCGGAAGTCCATGGTTGCGGTTTTGCTGCTCCCCCTCCTTACTTCACCAAGAAGCGAGAATTCTACCATTTCATGGTTGCTAAGCTTGTGTATACACAAGCTGAAAAAAAATTCTTTTCATAATTTGTTTTGAAAATTGATTATTGACAATGAATGAAAATGCAGATTTGGATCTAAGTTACATGCATAAGCCATATTAAAAATATTAATTGTGAAAGATACTGGTGTGGACATAGTGAAGCAGACTCTTTCCATGGTTACAGAAGAGATTCATTCACCTATTAGATTTCTGTCTAGAACTGTTGTTGCTATATGTTCCTACTCTATTTCTCCTATCTGTCCCTTGTCTTTCCCTGTACTTAAGTTCAAAGCTCTCTAAAATAGAGGCAATTATTTCCTTCTAGCACAACTGGTGTCCTGATCCATGACTATTTCTTCAGATAACAGCAGAAACAAACAGGCAAAATACTGGGTGACCATGACAATTACTTTCTCATTGTAAGTGAAGGGGTGTTGGACAAAATCCATCCAGTTTTTGCTGTTCAGAAAGTGTGAGACAAATCTTTGCTTTCTGAAGCGCAGAAACATAAGGGAGTCTAGTGAAAAAATATTTCTGGAAGTTCCATCTAGATCATGTGGCAAAGACAATTCAGCCAGAAGACTGTTACAGAAAACAGCATATGCAAGTTATATATGAAAAAAAGAATTATCCAACTTTTTGGGTGCTGCTTATTAATTTATATTATTTTCCCACAATTATAGCTGATGCTACATCCTCTCTGTCATAGCATTATAACTCGTGCATTACATTGTTACATGTAATGAAGCATACTGATAACCGCCTATCTCTCATCTCTCATTACTATTCATTTAAATGTATTCTATGCAGAAAGTTAGATCATAACTCAGCAAAACCAGACTTAAAAAATCTGTCTTGTCTTCAACTGTACCTTCTTGTTCTGAAATCCTTGAAATATTTTCTCTTCTTGAAAAGGTAGAATCCTAGGAAGACTAGACCAAATCTTGGAAAGTAAATGAAGCCATAAGTTTTCTGGTCTAAAATGAATATAACTGGATGAACTGCAGAGAGACAACCTGCTTCTCTGTTCATAACAGTTCTATCACTCCTCTCCATTCCCTGCCTAAACCTGGAACAAGGCTCATAACGTGTCAGTTAGATTGACCTTTAATGTGTGTGAACAAAATAAGATAGCAAGTCATATTCCTGCTGTAATGAACACTGACTGATGGGAGCTTTGTATTTTATTTCCCCACACCCACAATAGATCTCTGCTGGGTGCATCTAACTTCAGAGGACTACAAAAATATTTGTCTCTCAGCACTTTGACATATTAATCAAATTCCCTACTATTTGTTCTGGGTCATTAAAAACCATAAAGCCTATGCATTGGGTAGGTATTTTAATCAAGAAATACTTTTGTCCTGTTTTTCTTTAACAAGTAAGGTGAACAGTATGACTTCAGGTACACCAAAATGTGTCAAAGTTGGTATGTGTGAGCTCTTCCCTGGCAACTCATATATTGATATTCTGCTAATTCTAGTTCTGTCTTCCAGAGTTCACAGAAATATATGTCTTTCAGGTTAAAAAATACATCTTTCAGATTAAAAAAAAGTTAAAAATAAATTTTTGAGTGAATTTGGTCAAATGGATCGTATCATTTCAGTTTTAAAAATGCATCAGTTGTCAAGTGCAATCAAGAATCACTGCAGTAATCTCTTTACTGGCGTACATTTGAAAACTAATATGTATATTATCTTCAACATTCTTCTTATGAAATCTAACAGATGTTTAGTGAAGATCAGGTGTAGGCCCTCAGCCAGACAGATTTTTCCTGTCATTGGGCTAAGTTGCTGCCAACTACTTTGGCCCCAAGGTGGCCCACTGTGTTTCTTATGAGGAATACTGAACAAGGTGGAGGAGAGATTCTCTGCATATTTTCATTAGCCATCACGTCAAATGTGGAAGAGTATAACCTCATTGTTCATAAACATTTTGTGTATATAAAATTATTGCAATTGTTAATTGTAAAAAACACTAGGAATTGTCTGAAATTGAAGGAGTGCATTTATGAAATTTGGGTTTTATTCCAGCATCAGCATTATGGAAATTTGCATGTTGGCGGACAGAGCCACTAATATAAGTATATTGTGCACTCAGATTAGGCTGGCTTTGAGTGTTTCACACCTCTAGAACACCACAAAACAACACAACATGATACATGAAGTAATGCATTTTTTCCTATTTGTCTTATAGCTGTATTCATCAGAACATATGCATTAGTGCGTGTCAGGGCTAGTGAAGAACCAAGTTTCTCCACAAATAGCAATAGAACTACAGTAAAACAGAGACTGATTTTAAGAACTCCAGGGTGGTAGGACATCCCCCCAAAAAAACCCCACCAAACAACACAAACAACCCAACAAAGCACATACTAGAAGTTTATCATTTCAAAAGTTTGTTTAAACTGTATTCTTTCTGGATTTATGATGTAATTCTAAACTGAGCTACAATATGTTGTTCTCAGTCTTATCTTCTAGAATAATACTGACAGAATTTTTATTTATCAACAATTACCTGAAATCACATTGCAAGTCCTTCTGAGATATGTTTTTACCTCTTGGTCTCCAGAACCAGGGGTTGTGCTTAGTTTTCTCCTCTTTCATTAAAGAGGAGCCTGTATCAAATTACCACTCACTTGTTTCTAAGAGAAACTTACTTCAGAGGAAGTTGCCATGAAACTTTGGACGTTCTGTTAGTTTCTTATAAAAGTATCTTATAAGAGTTATTGAACAAAGTTTGTTTCCTTCTCTCTCCTCCTTCACCCTCTTTTTTTAAAAATACAAGACACTTCCCTTACTAAGGGGTTTTCTCAACCAGTAGCCAGATCTTTACCATTCAGCTTTAATACAAGCAGTCCTTATTTAATAGCTGCCCTCATTTAGTAGCCAGACCTTTATCATTTGTCTTTACTGTGAAAACCCCAGGAGAAAGTAAACTTAATAGAAGCTGCCCCAGTTTAAAGCCATAGAGGG